GGTGACATACTGTATAGGGTGGCTTTAGATTGTAACAATTGAATGGTTTGTCTCCAAATGTCATCTGTTGTTTTGTAAGTGATTCACTGAGCCCATGGCATGATACACAAATTCCATTTATTTTCTTTCTACCACAATAGCATTTTGTGACATATTTATCTTTACTGCAATAATTAGGGGGAAATGCCAGGCTGATAAATACCCAACTGACATATTTCATATAGATGCTTCAGGAGTATTTTATTCAATGAAGTGTGGATTGTAATTACTTTAATGTTACACCTTTGATAGGGTTTGATTTTGTAAGAACATGAACTTCCTGAAGTGGCAACTGGCTTTTGAAGTCTGTATGTACTTTCTTCAGTTAAATATTAAGTGATTTAGTATACTGTTAACTGATTTTCAAGTAATCATCCAGATTTAAATGAGCATTTTTATTGTTCTTAGGAGACAGGTAATGTGACCAGTAATTGTTAAAGACTTACTGAAGGTATTTTGCCTTTTGGTATCTTAATATGAAACATTATAATGCCACTATCACTATTATATTTCAGATGAGTGTAACTGAAAGATGGCTCAGTTTCGCCAATTCAAAGTTGTGAATGGTCCTTGTATTTGTCATATAGTTACCTGGTTAAAGAAAAAACTGATTATATCTTACAGTATTATGATAAGTAATTTTTAACAAAGATCTGAAGGCTTTTGCACTTGATATTCTTCAGTTACTTCAGTATTTTACTAGAGTTCAAATTTATTAAATGCAGCCCTGAATTTTTTTCCTCTTGAACATTTTTATCAGTCACATTACAACCTTCAGTCTTGCCTCACCTCCTAGAAAACAGGGAAATGTTCATTTTGGAGGATTATTGTTCCATCTACCGATTCCTTTATCTAATCAAAATCTCATCTGCTTTGTTGACTGGCATTAACATTAATGCTGACTGATGTATTTGAAAACAGCTGGCTCATATATTTTCTTAATTAAATCATAGCATTCGCAGACTTCAGTTGATGTAATTCTCCATTGTACAAATATGTTACTTCTCTCCTTCATTTTCCATCAGTATTTGCCGATCTATAGATGTTTTGATCTTAACCCCTTGTTCAGTTTGCATCATGTGTAAGTGTAGCACAGCACAGTTTAGTTAACTGCTTAAACAGTTTGAGCCAGTATTCCTGTCAATTTTTAAAATGTCTTTTTTTGTAGCTGTAATTACTGATCCGTATGCTAGAAACCTGACCTTCATAGAAATAATTATCCTGATACATTTGCAGGACTGCTAGCAAGCAATTCGGAGTTGCAGTTTAATGTTAGTGGCATTTCAGAGAGAAATTTCCATTTGTTACTAAATTTGCACTTGAACACGTAAACCACTGTTTGCTATGGCCCAAGACAAGGCATACACTGACCGTAAGATTGAACTTAACTGACCGTAAGATTGAATTTACAGTTAGTTTTATATTAGATCATTAAATAATTTGCATATCATATCACTGGTGAAGCAAAGCAGTGTTTTCACTCTATGTTTTTCTGGTGAAATTGGCTTCTGTAGAGCAGAGCTACCTACCAGATAGCTTTTTTCTTCTATTCCAGGTACAAGATCTTTACTTTCATCCCATCTCACAATTAATATTACTGTTTAGACCTATTCTTTTTAAAATTCCTTTACATCAGTAGTTTACAGCCGGCTATAAAATTAGGCTAAGACAAGCTGAAATAATTCCACAGCAAAATACTGTTTTCATTCTCACAGGATTAATGTACCTAATAATCATCTGGGATTCGTTGGTTACTTCTGTACAAAACTTCTCTAAGAAGCACTATTGAGTGTGTTAGTGTCTGGCATCAAAGTGAGTTGATTACAGTTGTGTGGTGATCTGAAGGTTTTGCTTTAAAACTTAAGCAAACTTAAAGATGCTGCTTAAGTACAGCAAATAAAAGTCATCATATGATACTGAGGGGAAATGGAAAAATGAATGACTAATTTGTTTGACTCTGAGGAAAGAGCTTTTGTAAAAGATGATGGATTTAAAACCACGTAAGGGAAATCATAGAATCATAGAGTAGTTTTGGTTGGAAGGGACCTTAAAAAGTCGTATAGTCCAACCCCCCTGCTGTGAACAGGGACAGCTTCATCTAAATCGGGTTGCCCAGGACCACATCCAGCCTGGACTTAAATATTTCCAGGGATAGTGCATCTAATGTTAGGATTCAGCTTGGAGGTCTTATGTTTTAATTACAGCAGAAGGTTGGTCCCACTGAAATATTACTTTCTGGGAAACATCGCATAAATTAAAGGAATATTCAAGTTGAAAATCTGATTACATGTAATCTAGGTGGGAAATACGGAATACGTTAAAGGAATATTCAAGTTGAAAACTTATTTACATGTAATCCAGTTCCATGTGTTCATTTATTTTAAAGGTGAAGTTTGCATTGTGACATAGGGAGAACTGCAAAATATTTTTAATATTCATTATCTCATCCTGGTTTCATACTTCTGTTACTATTAATAATTCAGATACGTAGAATCATAGAATCATAGAGTCATAGAATAGTTAGGGTTGGAAAGGACCTTAAGATCATCTAGTTCCAACCCCCCTGCCATGGGCAGGGACACCACACACTAAACTATGTTGCCCAAGGCTCTGTCCAGCCTGGCCTTGAACACTGCCAGGGATGGGGCATTCACAACTTTCTTGGGCAACCCATTCCAGTGCCTCACCATAGTTGTGGTGGTATGAAAATTAAAGCCCTGATAAATAGAATATTAAAAAGAAAATAAGCAACCTTGGTCATATTATTCAATATGCCTGACTCTTCTGTAGAACACTTGGTCAAATATAACATTTAATTTTTCAAACTTAAAGCATTTGTTCATTCTTTTGTATGATTTTGGAAAAAGTTGACCCCTTGTGACACATGGGGAACAGCATATTGATGGAAAGAGGGACAGAAAAATTTACATAAAGTCATTTGGGAATAACTTGCTCCCAGAGATTTTAATCACCTGGGACCAGAGCTATAAAACTGGGACAGAATAATAACTGTCTTTATTAATTAGAAAGATATATGAAGATTCTTACATGGGTGTTCTCATAGTATATTCTGCTTAGCAAGAATTAATGCAATTTTTTTCTAATACAAGAAAACAACTATAGCATAAAAATGCCCGTATCTCACCAAAAGACAATACTAACTCATGCGGAATGGGCAAAAATAAGCTCCCTAGAAAAATAAATACAATATGAAGATGACAAGGTTTAGTCGTGAACTACTTAATGTCTAAAATTGAAATAGTGGCTTTTCTTGTTTAGGTTCTATATATGTGCAGGAGTGGTTTGTGGTACAATAATGATATTAGAAGATGAGGCAGGAAAATACATGCTTTAAAGTCTCTAGTTCATGGGACACTTGGACACATTCTTTTTGTGGGAGAAAGAATTACATGTGGAACTCTTAAGTGAGAATCCAGCAGAGCAAATGCTCTCATAATATACCTGGATTTGCTCACCTACAGCCAAAAACCCCACAGTCGAAGAACAAACAAGGCTAAGCCTTCTGCTGAGGATGATGTAGTTTGCTGTCAGTCATCTCTGTCATCAGCTGTACAATATTTGCTGTTATACACTTTCCTCTTCGATAGCAGAAGTCTCATTGGTTAAGGTGGATGTTCGATAAAAATTACTTTGGTTGGTCCCAAGAGCAAGAAGCATGCATCTGTATGCATCTGATTCCAGGACATGGAAAAGTCTGTGTTCCTCCTAAGCATCCTATTAACTGGAATTGAATTATTAATAAAAATGGTTTGATATTATCAATCCCTTCATTCTCTTAAGTTCTGTTCAATTGTAATTGTCCTATAATTACGATGCAAGTTGATTTTTGCTGCTGATAGCAGTTTTCTGTACTTTGTGCCTGACACTTAGTGATTTATTTTAGACACGTAAGTAGTCTGAGCAGTTACTGAAATCTATGACCTTATTTACCTTATCTTCTGTACAATGCTATTGAACTAATTAGCAGTATTGAGACCTAAGTCAACAAGCCTGATTTCTAAGTTATTTTAAGGCTTTGCACCATGTTGGCAACATAAAATTACTTTTACCTTTACTTTCACTGAAGACCCATAATCTGTTTTCAGCTAAAATGCAAATTAGGATGCCTGGATTTTAGTGCCTTTACTGAGGTGAAATTTTGCAGGTTTTTGGCCATCTTATTTGCCAGTGAGTAAAAAAGCTCATACAAAAAATCTGGATAGATAACACAGTTTAAAAATTGGCCAAGACAATAGTTTTAGTAATAGTAGTCAATAGTATCTTAAGTAAAAATCATGAAGTTGTAGTTAAAAGGAGATTTTTCATTCAAATAGAGTTAAACTCAGATTATGTGCAGTAATACACACTTTCATTCAAAACTACAGTTAGAATTGTAAATGCTGCAGCATTAAGGAAAGTCTGATCTTTGACTTTAGATAGATAAAGAGGTAGCTAAAAAATGAGATGGATTTCTGCATCTCTCTCTCTCTCTCCCAGGATATATATATATTTGCACGCATACATGTATGAATGTATATTTATACATAGACAAATTTTAAATAGATCATTAATTGTTTTATACTTGTGCAGACAACATTTTGCACCAAAAATAATCAGATGTATGTTTTTAAATAATGTCAGAATATCATACAAATAAATGTTTCAGGGAGTAGTCTTTACAAATATGTGGATAAGAAATCACAAATATGTGTGTTCTCAATACACAAGTTTGTGTTATCATTAATAATATCCCCCTATTTACAGCTATACTCTCATGTGCTTCCTTTGTCCCAAGAGTGTATTTTGCTTTCTGTAAGATATGTCATAGAATCATAGAATGGTGGAAGTGAAAATCCGTGTGACATGCTTTATCTGATGGGTCAAGAAAGGTTATCCTTTACTACTCTAGTATCTAGAAAAGAGAATTAACTGTCTTTAATACTATTTTATTTATTTTGCAGTTTAACAGTAATGCTCAGAACGTCAGTTGCTTTAATCATCTTGTCCAAGCTAATGTGAGGAACAAGAAGAAACTGAAAGAAGCTGTCTATAAAATCTCTGCTAAAGGAATCACAGATTACAAAAAAGGCTTTAGCTATGCATTTGAACAGCTGCTAAATGTAAGTATGAAAGTTGTCTCTTTCTGCAGTAAAGTCAAGTAGAACCTGAATGTTCAGATGGCCACTGCACTCTCCATTGTTTGACTGTGGCAGAAATGCAAACTTTTATTTTGCAAGTAAATTTGTTCCAAGAATATGTCTTTTTCTTTGCAGATCCCCCAGTAAATTGCTAAGATTTGGGAATAAGTTTGGTTTTCAATGTGCGTTACTGGTTTTGCTTCATTCATTCAAAGTTTTTCATTTACCATGTGATTCTCAGTTGGCACACAGCTGTGGTAGTGGTTGATTTGCAGGTAATGTTAAAATGGAAGGCTCCATGTTACAGTGGTGTTATTTCCATTTTACCACAGTATTATGTTTAGGTAACCTCCAAATTCATACTTATTACAAGTCATAAATAGTTGACCATGGCTTGAGCAGGACAGAGCGGAGCAAATGACTTAGTTAATAGAGGAATATTAGGCCCCTGAGAGTATTCTAATAAATTTCTCTTTCTCATATATAAAGATATAATTTTGTCTAAAATGGAATGCATTATTTCCATGTTTTAATTACATTGTACTTTCTAATTTGCACCCAAGCACTAGCTTTCTGAGCAGCAATGTTTTCCATTTACCGCAGATGTTGGGGGTTTCTTAGTATTTTTTAATACTTGATGTAGTTGTTTTTTCTACTCTTCACCTTCATAAAGACTGCATCTTGGATGTTCACTTTAGTGTAAACAAAGCTATACCAATTCACAGCAGTGAAGGATGTAGTGTAAAAATATATAAATTGTGTTATTTTCATTTTTTTAAGTATCAGTGATACCTCTCGGTGTACAAATTTTTAATTCTTTTCCCAGCTTCTGGACATCAGATCACTTCCCTGCTGTTGTATCTTAGAGCTTTATGTATATATGCATCTTAGGGCTAGAGCTGGTTGAAAAAATTCTAACCTTGTTAGATTTTGATGGAGGAAAAGAAAATACAATGTTTTCAAGGCTATTTTCTTGGTAGATTACTATGTACATTAGTAGAGGAATTTGGTGGGGAAATCATTGGCTGCCCTCTGCTGATTGTTATATAAAACTGCAAACAGAATGTTAAAGGCTCTTGGACTTATACTCTGACCAGGCTTAAGGGCATTTCCCCCTTTTTTTACATCTATTGCCATCTTATGCAGAAGGAGCCAGGAAGACACACGAAATTTTGCCAAACATGTTCCTCATAACATTTGTAGTTGATTAACATTGTGTATTACGTTTGGTGCAGCACTATACATGTACTTTGTGTACAGGCAATATTAAGAAGACATAAACACAGCCAAAGCCTCAAAACAGACTTGTTTCTAGGAGTAAAAATATTGCTGATAAAAATAATTGGAGATCAGTCTTATACTGGGACTGTCTCTCTTAACTGGAGGCAGAGTTGCAATTAGCTGTGCATTATCTCTTTAAGCCTGGACATTGTGGCTGGACATTGTGGGTATGTATAGATTATAGAAATATTATCATCTTCTCCAGATATTGGCAAATGCATTTTGCAGGAGGAGTAAAGGCTGGTGGTGGAGTTAGTGCTAGAATCTGGTGACAAGACAATACAATAGGGTGATATAATACAGGCTTAAACAAATAATAAAAAATATGCCTTGGGATAGTTTCCAGTTGTATATTTATGAATTCAAACAGCCCAATTGCTATAAGGTCCATGGAAATGGAATATTTTTTAACAGCTCAAATTTTGATGATAATTTTGTGCGTATTGTTTCTGGATGACAGTTATTTCAAACAATTTTCCTGAATAACAAAGCAATGTTTCACTTGTGCCATGGGAAACTTACTGTCTGTGGCATCGCTATATGGAAATAGACGCTTCAGTTTTTTCATCATACAAATTCAAGCAACTATCAATAATCTGGAGTCCGTGATTTTTATGCACTCTTTTTCCATTATTTATTGTTATGTTGACTTGCTGTTTCTTTGAAAATAATACTTCAGCTTCAGCAGTTCAGGAGGATTTTTGGTTTTGTTTACCTTTTCCTTCTGCAGTGGCACAAAGCTCATAAAGAAAAAATGCATTCCTAGAGTGTCATCTCATGAAGTATAATCCTGACGAGCCACTTAATGAGTTAATTTTAGGGATGTGAAACTTCTCTAAACCAAAAGCGGTTTTAGGCACAGTACAAAATGTATCGTGTCTTGTTTGTTTGGGGAGAAAAAAAAGGCCTGTATCAAGTGCAAAGGAGAGCTAAAAATGAATATATAGACTTAGTTCCAACTTGTATTTTTCTGTGGTTTAAGCTAAAAAGCCAATTCTTGTCCCAGGGAAGCTGCTTATATGAGCAAAACATTGCTCTTCAGCTGTGGTCTGTGATGGAAGGGCAAAGCCATCCATCGGACTGCTGAGGCAAAATACTCAGAAAAATAATGAAATTATTCCATCAACTTTACAAAATCACTTATAATCACTCCCTGAACCAGTATTTCTCCATCTGTGTACAACTGGCAGGGGACAGGGGAGGGAAGATGGGTTGTAAAGGCAATTCTGCCTTCCTTTTGAATCCTTGAAAGAGGCTGATATGTTAAGTTCATTCATCAGGATGCAAAGATTTTATGGTGGGAAAACGTATGCTTTGATCTTATTCATGTTCAGATTCCCAAAATTGTTTGGAGGCTAAAATTTTGCAATTATTTTCCGTGACATGACTTTAGTGTCTAAACAGTGTAGTGTAAGTAAACACTCTTCTGTAACTCCTAGCAGATGAGAAAACTGCCTTTTTCTGATACTGTGTAACCATATGCTAAGTAAGCCACTAGAAAAATCCTGGTTTAGCACGTTGCCCATTATTTCAATTTCAAAATCAGTAGGAATGTTTTATAATATGAACAGGCTTTGGTCCCCTTCCTTTTCATCTCTTTAGTTTCCTCTGATTTTATTTTGGCCTGTATATTAAAATACTGTAAATGTAGGCGAGTTTATTTATGAAGTATCCAACTCTACTTTTATTACTTTTAGTATTGAAAAGATTGCAGGCCAAAGCAGCATCTTGTAGGTTATATTTTACAAGCAAAAAATGGTCATAAATTACTTAATTCCAAATGAAACACAGTGTGCTGATGAGATTGGAGAGAATGTATTGATTTCAAGCATTTTTTTATGTGTTGTTACATATAAGAAAATCTTTGGACTTGTTCTTTTCAAATGATTAAATAAACAGTTATTTACTGAATATTGAACTACTACTACAAATCACGCTGTGAGGAATAATTATTCATATATGGATATAGTGATGGCAAATACATTTTTTGCAGCTCAGTTTTCTGGGATCATTGTAGAACCATGGAGATGCAGTATTTAGGATTATTGGCTAATGTTTGAGGTCTGGCTTTGGCGTTTTGGTTTCTTTATTACAGAAGAACAAGGAATCGGATCAGAGAGTAAGATGAATAGTGGCAAAGGGGAGTGGGATCATCTCACCTGACCAGCCAGGTGAAAGTTAGTCACTATCTAGTCACAAAGACTAAAGCAAGGGGGAACTGGGCACTTTGTAAGGATGACTATCCTATTTATTTTCCCAAGTCTGTAGTAAATTCATATAGCCAAATTCAGGCTTGTGGAAAGAGAAGTAGAATTTATTTTATTGAATCTCTAAGGGGTTTACTCTGTCACATCTAACTACTCTGAAGTACTAAGATGTGTCTGACTAGGGCCATTTGTATGCAACACAGAGGACAAGGAACGCTTGCTGTAAAATTAATGAATAATTTGCTTAGACTAGATTCTTAACTTTCAAGGAATAAGGAAAGAAGATGAATGTCAAAGGAGAATCCTTTGGCTTCCTTCATAAGGAGCCAAAATTCATATTCATCTTTCTAATGTTTGGCCATGGAACAATCTTTTTATTCCTTTGCACAACACATTGTAGTTTTCTTAGTCTCTTTGCTAGTTAATTTGACTGCGAATTAGGAGTCAGAGGGGCTTCTTCTCAACTCTCTATTCCAGGCTTACTCTCCAGAAACAATGGAACATGCTTAGTTTTTCACCTCTGAGTTACAATCTCAATAGAAAAGCAGTGGTGCAGAGATCTTAATATTTTGTGTAGCCATATGTTGACTGCAACATATTTTATAAACATGATTCTAAGATACTTTCCTAAAGTTAGTTATTAATTTCAATGTATTAAATATATATATACAAACTACATAAAAAATACAAACAGGAAATAATTAAAAGTGGAAAATGGAGCTTGTTTTATAGGAAATGTGACAAAATTAGAAAATGCAAAAGAATTTCTAATTTTATAAGGTATTTTCCTAAATAATCAGAGTTTTCATTTACATGGTCAGTGAGGCTGATATAGATTCTGTGAGCAGGAGTCCAGCAGGGGGAAAAAAAAAGCATATTCAGTAATTCATTAGAGGGCCATGGTTCCAAAATTTCCACAAGGACAGTAAGAAAGAGAAAAAAGTAAGGATAAGATGAGTAAAAATGTCTAGGACCCTCACTGAACAAGTCTCACACAGAACATCTGTAGAGGAATGCTGTAGGGTTGATGTGATGGGTATGAGCTGAAGAGATTTCCTTGTGTGTGTGGAAGTGAGAGGAACCACCAGACTTCCATTCTTCTGTGTTGGGCCAGGTCTGAAATGAGTCATATTCAAGTCTTATGAAACAGAAAAGTGGTTTTGTTTGGGGTTTATTTTGTTTTATTTTTCATTCAGAAGGAGATATTGAATGAAATCCTAAGACTTTAGAAGTTTTGCCATTACGATGTTAAAATAGTAAGCATGTTGATCTGAAAGTCATCAAACATAACAGTTGTTATACCTTATAGCCTGAAATAAACCCCCTTCTGTTTGTATCTCCTACAGCACAGTGTCTCTAGAGCTAACTGCAATAAGATTATTATGTTGTTTACGGATGGTGGTGAAGAAAGAGCACAGGAAATTTTCCATAAATACAATGAAGACAAAAAAGTAAGTGATCTATGAAAGATTTTACTACATAAAGTACAACAGCACAAACAGGAACATTTAAATATGGAAGTGGAAGCATTTTCGGTATGTGTATAAAGTACTTTTTAAAACCGCATTTGTATTGAACTTTTAGGGCACTTAAAGCTTTCTCTATCTATAGCATCTCTTCGAAAAACACATAAAATATATTTAATATTTTACCCCTCGTGACTCATTGCTGTTAAGCAGTAAAGAAGTATACCATAAGGCATGAAGAATTTAACTTTTTATTGGCAGTTTTCTTGTATCAGTGTAATCGTTGCATTATCAAGCAGAAGCACAGGTAGTTAAATGATGTGAGGTATAGCTATATCATCTCCTCACTATAAATATTTTCTATATTATTTTGTTGTTCATCAAGCAAAGACAAAAGCAGATCTCAAGGTTAGAATCTGAATCTGAATAGATTTGGGCTGGAACAAACCCACATGTTTTTCTCAGTGAGGCTAATTATACCTTTGGATGTCAGCGAGGAGTAGCATGGCTGTCTATTGATGAAATTTGACCTGTGGTTCAACCAGAATTATTGGTTTGACACAAGAATCACTGGATGGCTTGTGTTGTTCAGATTAGATTGGATTATTAGCTGTGCTGGTTTGGGGTTTAAATTTTGAATCTAATCAAACTTCTGGTCTGGCTTTGATGTAAAAATGCGTTGAGTGTGTGAAATAAACAGCTTTGTAAATTGTCTCCTGCTACATTTCAGTAGAAGTCATTATGTTTAGAAGATTAATCACTTTATAAATGGAAATTAAATATGAGCTGGATTCACACAACTATGAAGAACTTACCTTCTCTAGTGTTTGGGGTTCTACCTGTACCTGGTTTTTCGGGGTTTTGTTTGTTTCATTTTGTTTTCAAAAAAGGCAGCTAGAAGTTAGATTACAATTCACCAAGCCACTTTAACAGTTGCCATGGATGCTTGCGTATAAAGCAGTGGAAGTACTCAGTTGGAAATCCCCATGTATTTGGCTTAATCCCCTCAAAAGGAGAACTAGAAACGCAACACAGAATTTGCATCTCAACCAATGGTTCACTCAGTGACCTTCAATAATGAATTTGTCTCTGCTTTATAATTGTTTCATATAGAATGATATGGTGGGGTTTAGTTAATCTTTGTATCTGAACTGAAAGTACTTTTTTAAACTGACAATTAGAAGGAAGGACTGAAATCATAGCAATTTGTCACACTTGCCTGTATTCTGAAAATATATGCAGAGATTCCTCTTCAAATTTGGTCTTGGTAGTTTTTGTTGTGTTACAACAAAAGCCATTAGCTAAAGGAAAATGAGCATAAAGGGGGAAATGCATGAATAATTTCTTATTATTTTCCATTTAATTTGCTGTTAGGAAGTATAGTAAGATGTCCAGTCCAAACAGATTTACAGTGCTGAGATTTGTGGTCTTACATCATGTGTGAGGACTGATTATTGTGTGGAGTATAATAAATGAAATGTAGGATTTCCTATGTTAAATGGTTATTCTACTGCATCCTTTAATAATGTAAATTTGTACGGCCAAGGGATGGACTGGTTTTATATATACTGTTACATATATTATATATATTACAGTACACTCTCACTTTCTTGTTCCCTATAGTGAATGAGGCTTTTGGGGCTTTTACAACAAATTTTTTTATATACTTAAACGCAGTGCAGGTGTAATGTAAGGCAGATTTCCTACCCTTGATTAAGTTCTATATACCTACAATTTCAAATCTTAGTAAGCACTTACATTTTGTTACTTGTCTAATAAAGCACTGGGTTGCTCTATGCTATCCCTTACTTTTGTTCTCCAAGGTGACACTGGAAATACAAGAAATACTAACAGAGTTTTTGCAGGTATAATTTGAAGAACCATTTGCTTTCTCCTTGTGGTGTCGAAGGGAAATTTATGGCTGAAAAACTTCTACTGAGATTGAATTCATTTTTAGAGTTTATAATAAACCTTCCCTCCCCCGACAATCTTTTGTAGGATTTTAATATTTTTAAAAACCAGATTATTTCAAAATATGTCTACGCTTTCCTTAGTAAAACTCACCTGATTCCAGAATGGTGATGTGAGCTCTCTTGTTGTTCCCTCTTTGTGTAATTTAAGGTTCCAGTGGAGCATAATAACATAACCAACAGACACATTCTAACATGAAAAATACACATATACTTTCAATTGTTTTAAATTCATAGTCACAAACATAGAGTTTAGATTGCATAGCAGGCTGCTTTCACATGATAAATGATTTAAAGATACGTGGATTTGGATTCTGTTGTCTTTATTGCAGTTAGTTTATAATTTATTTCACAAGTAGCCCGTTAATGTAAGACCACATTTATAATTATCATTTGTATAGAGACTGTTCAATGTGAATAGGGTGTTAAAAAGTTGTCCATATTTTACTGTAGTAGCTCTTCATAGTATAAATATGAATCAGCTGATGTGTTTTCTTGCCTGCTCTGCATTTGTTTGAATATTTGTCTTTCTGCTTTGCATATAGTATATAAAATATGAATATTTATTGTCTTATACCACAGTCAGTCATTTCCCATCTTAGGTACATCATAGTTTAAGTGTCATAAACCTTTTTTGTTCTTTTTTCTCATGCAAACAAAAGACCATTCATTCAAATCTCTTAATCCTTGTTTTCATTTTCCTGATGTAAAAATTTCCTTCAGCTGTAAAAGTATTTGCTTCTTTATGTCGGTTACTTTGTAATTCCTTGACAAGAAAGAAGCTTCAGTAAGTTTTGGCCTATTGGATGACATGATTTAGGATACTTGTTTGTAGTGCCCTTAGTGCAACCTTCAAGTTAAGAAGTGAAAGAAAACAATAAGCAATTGGAAACTACTAGAAGAGAAGCCTAGAATCTAGCTGCTGGGAAATTCTTCTGTTAAATTAGGGAGTTTAATCTGTTTGAAATAGCACACAGATATATTTAAAATAATGTTCTGTCTTTACAAATCATTTACGCTATGAATATGAGGGTTATTGCAAAACTTACATTGCACACTTTTGAGGCGGAACATTCCTGGTTTTCATCTGTTTGAAGTGGAAAATCACAGTTATGTTTCACCTTTGCATGCCTTTTTCCACTTATAAAGTCAGATTTTATTGTCACAGATTGCAGCTGCATGCTGTGCCTGATATTTAAAAACTGACGTGTTTACCTTTACGGCAACATTTGGGGCACTCCCATTAAATGTGTGAAATACCACACACGCACTAAATTTCAGGAATGGGGGTGGCAAACTTTTGTTTTATTTGCACTCACACTACAGATGGCTCCACTGAAGATAGCAATAATAATTTAATTGGAATGTAGGCCCAGTAGGAGTTCTCCATCCTGAGAATTTTGAATCAGGTTGAAAATAGAAAACTAACTACAGCTTATTGGGGTAAATTGCGAACCCTAAATTCTGTGTTTTGAAGGATTGCTCAACTTAGGGGAGTAGGAAGATACTTTAAACATATCTTGTGCACTTTCAGTTGTTTGTCATTTCCTAGCATAGTACAGGTTTGTTGGGGTCAGACCCACAGACTCAGGATTAATCCAACCCCTCAGGAGGAGAACCATAAGCTGGGTCTCACGTCTCCTTCCCACAGAATTATCTGTCATAATTAACACAACCTCCTTTTGTGTAGTTTTTTCTGACAGCATCATTTGAGAGGAAATGGTATGTAGTGAAGTTTTCCGACAACTCATTTCCATTAAAAATATCTGTATGTGGTGGGTACAGAACTGCTACAGTGATAGAGGTCCTATGGGAGGAGGCTGAAGCTTGCCCTAACTCCACTGGGAAGCTTATGATTGGCAGTGACTTCTTCCAAATGGGACACATTCAGCATGTGAATAGAACGATAAAATGAAATATTTATGAGAAGGCACTTGCAAAACTTTCTTCTAAAACACAAATGCCACCTACTGTCATTTCCAAAGGAGGGAACCAGTTTCTTCGTTGGTTTGAATCCATTATTGCACAACTGCAAGCCAACAAAGTGAAAAAACCCTGTGTTAATCTAGGCAATGGATATGAATCATTCCAGACAAGGCTAGTCCTGACTACAAATGACTACAGTAAAAGCCTATGACATTTCCACTTGGGGTAGCCATGGGATTCTCACCAGGTGTCAGACTAAATGAATGTAACTTTCTGGGGTTACTTGAAGAGCCAAAAATAGAAACAGCGTCGTTCTCAACACTATTAATCAGCTTCAAACAGAACTTAACAGCTGTCAAAGTGAACCGTAACAGTTCTTGCATTTCTGAGTTTGTGATAGACTTGTGACACAGGATGTAACATAAAGTAATTAAGTTAAGGGTTGAATCCAGCCAAATTCTGGCTTATATCTGAATGGCAAGTGGTATAGTTCGATAGATAAACTTGAAGCCTTTTTTTCTTAAGCTTTCTGGTTTATAGATTGTTCTCTCGCCTTCTCTATACTACAGTAGCCTTCTGTGATCTTTAGACAACCAGGTGCTAGGATATTTCTCATTCCTTCTGATAGTCCCCCTGTGCTGTGAATTTTCTGGGGGTGATGGTACAGGAAATCCCATGGAGAAGAAATCTCCAGCTAGCTGGTTAAACTGGCTCCATGGCTCCTTCTCTAATCACTTCTGTCTTAAGAGTGTTGTCATCTTCCAGATGTTAATTTATTGTATATGCTGTGACATGCACAACTGATAAAGCTAAAATATTGAGTGAAACCTGGGTCAGTACTTATAAATTACATAATCCATTCCTTTTTAAATTTTTTTCAAAGTAAAATAAAACTGGAAACCCTGTTATTAGAGTGCTCACTGAAGAAGTAAGGCAAATTATGTATTTTTTCACCTCTTTCTTAGCTCTACTTGTTAATGAAGGACTTGGAGCATATCCACTGTCCCAGCTTCTGTTTTCCTAACATAGATTAATGCTGCTACACTAATGAATTGAAATATTCCATATCAGCAGTCTTCCTCCTGTGAC